TGATATGTTCAAGCTGTCAAGGATTGCCTATCTAGTTAAAGGTATTTTAGAGCTATTTCTGAGAGAATTTCACCTGCAAAGTTCAATTAAAACCACTTAAACTTTTGTGAATTCCCATTTCACATTTTAAAATGTCTTCATACTGAAAGAGTATCTATAATCAGGAAGTTTTAACATTTTTTCACATGTGGTTTAATGTCAATTCTATAAAGCAGAACCCAGTGGGATGAGTGTACAGAATGAGTAGTTTAGTTGAATTAGGCCATAATGCTGGAACATGACAGCATTGCATAATAGTTTCCAGAGGGATCAAATGATTCAAATTTTCTAAGCAATTAAAATTCTAAGAAAGCCTGATTTTTGCTAAATGATGCAGACCTAGTGACATGTACAATAAAATTGACTAGTAGAACAAGTCACAGCTTCTCTATTTTGTGAAAGCTTGAAATGTTCTGACCATGTTTTAAAATAACTTCTATGATACCATTTTTGGGATAGAAATGTCCACAATGTTCATGAATTTGGACTTATGGCAGTTTTGCTGCTAAATTATGTACTTTCTTAAGTTATATAATCATTGTTCACACAATTTTTCTGTATCATTTATGAGGTAAATCACAAATGTTAAAAATCCCAGACACCACATAGTTAAGAAACTTTGAGGAATCTAGTTCACAGCTGAATGTTGTTCTCCTGATCCATCAGAGAATGATGTGGTACCTTAGTACAGGAGCTGCTACTCACAGCTCCTACCTCACTTAACTTTCTGTTGAATCATGCCTTTTTGACAGCCCTGACTTAACGTCTCTGCCAGTTCTCCAGTTAGGGCCCCAATCACACATTATGCTCTCTGGCAGTCAGGGCAAGTGGGGATTCGGATTTTGCCGCATCTAGGTTTCCCAATGCTAGACTGGCAGATCCTGCTTCTCCCTTGGTGTTTTAGTGTGTGTTTTAAGTGTCAAGATAATGATGTTCTTGTTATACAAAGTTCAAGTATATGTTTTCACATACTTATTTTGGAAAACGAGGTGCACAATGCTTTAATATAGAACTCAAAATACAATAAAGTACAAAATGGTATTAACTCCAAAATTCAATGATTTCTGACTTGTCAGGCTTTTTATGACAGTGGTCTTATTTTTTAAAAAGTTCAGTCTAATCTAAATAACATAAAACTAATCCATATCTGAAATGTGTGCTATTTCATCTTTTATATCTTTAATTTCAGCATGGACTATTGTTAAGTTAGATATTTTTTCATTTAAGAAAGCAATTTCTTTCTCTCTTTGTAGTAAGTCAGTAACCAATCTCCCAATGCGTAGTATTAAATCATTTACCAATGGTTCCAAACGGGAAAAGTCCTTCTTTAGATTATACACCTTTGGTTTCAGATCATTTGCAAAAGTCACTGTCTTCAGAACTTTAGCTCTGTCACTTTCTAAGCTTAAAAACCTATCCGTGTGTTTGTTGAAATCATTCTTTAGCTCTGAAAGTATGTTCTTAACAGAGTTAATTCTTTGTGAATTTTCAGATGCTGTTTTCCGGAGCATTGCTGTTCGGTCAATGCTACTTGAAAGAAGATCACCTATGTTTTTCACTGTATTTTTTTCTACTTTTTCTATTTTATTTTCTAGTTCTTGCACAGAGTCTGTCAATGATGTTACATCCGTTACTAAACCTGAAATACGTCGTAGGTCTGTCTTTATAGTTGTAATCTTGAGACCAATATCTTTTGCCATGGAAGTTATATTCTGGTCTACTTCTGTAACTTTTTGAGAAAGACCTGTCAAGTTGTTGTTCAGTGTATCCTGTTTTTCAGTTATCCTGTTAGACCAAGTTTTCACCTCATATATTTTCTCCTGTAGACGCTTTAGGCGAGTAATTATTTGAAAAGACTTCAATTTTTCCATGAAGGCTTCAGACTTCTGACACTATAAGAAAATATAATACCACCATAATTAATTGATTAAAGGCTTAATATTTAAAGTTCAACTTAAATTTTATGTTGTGCTATTTTTAACTATAATTTCACTGCTTTCCTAGAAAGCATTTGATAAAAGATGTATTAAGTGTACTACTAATGAATAAGAAGGAAACCATTAGCAAAATTTCATGTTACTGGAAAAGGTGTTTTTCAGCTATTATTTTTCACCATCAATTCTCTGTACAGTGACAAAATGAGCTAAATGAAGGACAGTGATGTATTTTTTCAGTTGCTGGAGTAAGGAGGAGAAAACCTCTAGATGAGCTTTGGTAGATTTGGGGGGGGTCAAGGCAACATAACTACTGAAACAAGTTTGTACAGTAGTTATTATTTCAAGTGCTAGAATGAAGGGACCAATGTCCAAGACTGTGTGTATACACTTTATTGTCCTAATTTATGAATAATTTTCTGGGGTATCCATGAGACCTTGACTAATTCAATTAACTAACTAATAAGCTGTTAGACATGCCAAGTGTAAGGGACATAAAAGATGAGTACAGTTTGGGTTGTGACCCTAACTTGGTAGTTTAGATATGTAAAAAGCAAACAAAAAACTATCTCCAAGTTCTAAAATTTTGATTCCAATACAAGCGGCTCCCAAATTTTATACATTTCAGTATCATCCTCCTTCCCCACAGTCTATTGTATACTTACATACCTCTAAATTGTTTTGGTTTAACTTGGATACATTAACCTATGAACATTATGAGCCACAGCTGTCTGGCAACATGTTTTGAGTTGTTTTTGTTGGTGGTGGTGTCTGCGTGTGCATGTGTGCGTGTGTTTGCACACAGTGTTGGAAAAGTTGAATATTTGAAATTTTATTGCATTGTGTCATCAGTTAATAAAAGTAAGAGGGAAAGGGAAAAATTTAAACTTTAAGCTCTTTTTCTAGGAAAGCATTTTAAAATGGAAATTGCCTATAGCTTTCTACTAATAATAAAAACTAGTTTGATTCAACATTTATTGTACAGTATGTGCTACATAGTCAGGAACAGTCTGCTTTCAGGGAGGTTGTAATTTAGTTTGGGAATGAAAATGACAATAAATTAAAATTTATAAAACAATTAAAAACATGCAGGCTGAGAAACATTTTTATAAAATAAGATATGCAGTTTCATCTAAAGACATCAAGTTTTTTCCAAAGTAATTGTGTATTTCTCATACATACATACATATATATATTTTTAATGAATTACCTTTCTTAAATTGCATCTGCCTGGTTTACTCAGCTAACCTTTTGAGATTACTTTGCTAACTTAACTTAGTTGTATTTAATGCAAATAAAAATTTAATACGCTTATAATACTATTTTTATAGCAGCCTAAAAAGCAGCTATATAGATGTGCAAAATGACAAGCTGAAATGGGGGCCGAACAATTGAAAGCAGTAACTCCCCCATCTCATCTCATCATATATATTTGTTTTAAAAATATATTTAGTATTTTTATCCTCAGTAGGCTTTCCTATGTCAGTTATTGGTGGGGGATGTGGCCCAAAATGTTTTTTGGTAGGAGTTAAGTGAAAATGTTTCTGTGTATATGACATTAAAGAATGGCCACAAATAGGAAGGAAACGTGGCAATTGCAAAAGCATGTTTTATTTGTAAGGGGAAAGTTTTGCAATAAAGTACACTTGCTGAGACTCCCAAGAGTGAAAGAAGCAGTAGCTTATTTCATCCATTTCATTACTAGATTATTGCTTATTAATGTATCTACTCTCCATAGAGTAAATGTAGCTTAATAGCATTACACAATTAAGACTCCTCAGAAAGCTTAGTAGATTCTTAGAAGGATCAGATCATTGAAAAGCTGCTAGTAAGCTTCTTTGTTTTACGTGATAGCGTATAAAGCAATTTATCATAAACTTCTATTTAAAATATAAACTCAACACAGTATAGGAATAGTCTAGAAATTGTTTTACTGAGTTATTTTAAAAAATTATTTGGGGCTTGTTTAAGCTATTGGCCTAGAATGGACGGAGGAGTTTGGAGAGTCTTATCAGTAACTCAAAAGGTTCAGACATAAAAATTTTTGAGTATTTACCAAGTATCTATCATACATGTAAGGTACTAAGCTAGATGCTATCCTGTAATGTTAAATACTGTCTAAACCTACAAGCATAGCAACATGGCTCAAGGGATTTATTTCTGGGTCCAATTGGCCTTCCAAAAGCTTTACTGAAGAGTTTTTGAAAATGTACTAAAGGACCTAACAATTTTATTGATCTCTAAAATTTAAAACCACATAAAACTAGAAGGGATCTTAGAAATTATTTGGTACAATTCTCTCATGAAAAAACTGAGCCCCCAGATAAAGTGTCCAAGAACACAGAGTGGCAAAGCCTAGATTGGAAGATTCCGGTGTAGGGTTCTTTCTTCACCATAGCTTTCCCACTCTCTCCTAAGCATATACTGATTCCCTCTTAGTGCCTAAACAATTTTAAGTCAGTTGTAACTTCAGTGACTTACACTCTAGCTTAATGGTGACATGCAGTGGATACATTTAGCTGAACTACAGTTTTTTGAATTCTCAAGATAGTTCTGACAAGTTTTTTGTTATTTTTTTCCTCCCCTGATTGAATAGCAGCAGGTTGCATTGTGTAGCGGGAGTTCAGTGGCTTTTGTAGTTGAACAGACCTAGGAGTGTGATCGCAGGCTTCTTAATCTTCCTGAGCCTCAATTTCCTCCTCAGCTGGCAAAGCTGTGGTAAGAATTAGTGATGATCCATGCAAAGTAGGTGGCACAGTTACTGGTACATGGCAGGTACTCAGTACACGGAGCTGTTAGGATGATGATGATGTAGGCCCCAGCAGTATTTGACGTGTACTAGGCTCCCAAAGGTTCTTCCCTGCTGTGTAAAGCTGGGATGGAGCGTGTTGAATAGTATTAAGTTAATAGCCCACAGCTGAACTTAAAACAGATGCTGGCTGAGTTTGCAGAGCTTTTGCCAACTGCCAAGTATGAAGTGAGTCTAAAAAAATTTTTTTTAGTGTGTTTAGTGAACTTATAGCATCATTTTATAATGACATTAAGCTCTGGTCAAGATTATACATACAAAAGTCTACAATTAGGTTGAGATGAAAAATAATGCCATTAACTTTGTATCTTACAAGTTTAGCTTTCTATAGAATATAGGTTAATAAATTAACATTTTTCATTATAAAATATAAAATACACTTAACAGCTTCTAATCATTAGGCAAAGTTTAAAGAAAGCACTACAAAAATACATTTAAACTTTACATCTTAAGGTTAAAAAATTAGGTGTTTCGTAAAAAAAAATTAGGTGTTTTGTAGAAGTGATTTATTTCAGCTAAATCAAAAAGTGCCCAGTGCTATCAGAAATTGATGTAAAATTTATTATCAATTACAAAGATGCAAAAATGTATCCTAGAATATGGTAATCTTCCTTAAAAGAAAGACTTAATAATATTATTTAATATTTGATGCACAAGAAAGTTTTTTAAAATTTCAAGTGTCTGTTAAGTGAATGTAAGAAACAGAGGAAGACAAATTAGGTACAGTAGTCCCCGCTTATCCACAGGGCATATGTTCCAAGACCCCCAGTGGATGCATGAAACTGGATTGTACCAATCCCTATGTATAATGCTTTTTCCTATACATATATACCTATGACAAAGTTTAATTTATAACTTAGGCATAGTAAGAGATTAACAATAATAGACAATTTTAACAATATGCTATAATAAAAGTCATGTGAATGTGGTCTCAAACTCTTATTTTGTTGTATTCATGCTTATAATGATGTGAGGTGATAAAATGCCTACGTGATGAGATGAAGTGAAGTGAATGACAGGTACTGTGATGTAGTGTTAAGCTACCACTCACCTTCTGATGGTAGGTCATCAGAAGGAGGACCATCTGCTTCTGGACTGCAGCTGACTGCAGGGAACTGAAACAGTGGAAAGTGAAGCCGAGGATGGGGGGGACTACTGTAGGTCTCAGTCTCTCTAAGGACAACTTTTTATAGGAAAACCTCTGAGTAAAAGAATGTACGCATGTGTATAAACAGAGACCCAACAGTTTTCTCCTGAAATACAATACAGCATTTGGTGTATCAAACCTAGTGATAGGCCAAAAATATATACATAAAAGTGAAGAGTACAAGAGATCACATCTGCTTTGACAGGATGGAGATTAGAACAACAGTCCCTGCTTATTTTATTTTCTTAGCATGAAAATAAAAGCAAAATCCAATTTTGCCTGTGCACATAGATGAGAACTTAAGACATTCGAAGTCAAGAAATGTAATGTTTTCTGAAATAAATGCTATGCCCCTTAATAGCAGCACTCTTCCAGGTTTGTTTTTATGACCTGTGGCTGACTACCATAAGCACTCCTAAACTCAAAAGTAGAACTTGCTTGGGATTTTCTTCCAAAAAGGTGCAGTTACATCATAAAACGACCTGACCACAACTAATTTCCGTAACCGCTTTCAAGTTCTTTGTGTTTAATTCCACTGAAATTGCATTATAAAACTGGGAATACAGTTGGTTATTGATAAGAAGAAACAAGAACAGTACTTCCATGTGCAGTCGACTCAGTTTTCAACAGCAAGCTTGGACACTTGATAAATCAGCTTACCAATAAAAGTCATGTGATCTTCCAATCCTGCACACTTCTAATTATTATTGGAAAAATCCAACTAGCCCTCCCCTTAATCTCATCTCAGTATGTCCATTCTTACTCCTTGTGACTCCATTATATAATTTTGTGTAAAATAAAGTCACTATGTAAAATGAATTTGGTTGGATAATTTGTTTGGGGACTCTAACAACATACTTTTAATTACCATAATTACAATTTCTCATTATGCTGCTTTTTCCTCTTTAAATAGGCCACAGGCTTACTGGTATACTTTTTATTGTAAGTAGAAAAATATGTCTAGAGATTATGTATGTAACAAACTCTAGAGTCTATAACACAGGTAGAACCTTAAAAAAAAAGCCCAGGTATATGAAGATAGTCCAAGGAAGTTTCTTCAAAGCATACACACTTAATTCATATGAAAAGCCTTCAATAACAACATATCTACTCCTCTTTAAAAATTCTTACAAGTATCTGTAACAGTTTGGAACCTTAACAAAAAGTAAAAACATTTCCCAGGCTCCATAGTTTTCAAAAAGTGCATATTAATTCATAATGAAGTACTCCAGGCTCTCCCTTGGGCATGTTTTTTTTTTTAGATAAAATTCCTATTAACCTGGTTGTCTGGATTCTTGGCCTGCAAAATTACAAAGGAAATGAAAAACTGGCTTAAGCAGGCATTATCACCAACCAACCTACAGTAAGATCAGGTCAGTGGGTCACCTTTTCAGGTAACAAAAAAGGTATAGTAGACATACGTTTGAAAAAAAACAGGTCATTTCGTGAGGAGGTAAACACTCCTCAATAGCTTCTAGAGGTATTAATGTATTTAGATCCAGTATAACTGGTGAGATTCATAATGATGTCCATTCATTATTAGAAAAACTTTAAAAAATATTAAGTATATTGATTTAAAAAGTGGGGAAATATATATTTTAGAAATATTCTTATTTAAAATGGTTAAAATGAAATGTTTTATTGCTTAAAAAGATAAGCTTTGGATGTATGGATAATTCATCTGTGTGGACATCTCACTAGGATAAAGTGAGATATCAAAATAGCACAAAAGCATAGAACTCATCAATTTATGTATAACAATGTGACTCATCAGAATAAATGTAGTGCATTTAAAACTCACTATCAATTTTTCCTTCATTTTCTAGATTATAATCTTCTAAAGTTCCCTTTTCTCTTGTACTTGAATAGACTATAAAATCATGAACTTTTCCTTTTAGAACATCCAGTTCATTTTGCATCTTTAATATGCTATTATCATACTGAATTCCTTCAAGGGTTTTCTGCATCTCCATTATTTCAGAGACTGCTTTCAGCATGTCATCTTCCATATTAAACATCTGAGTAGTCAAATCTTCCATTTTCTTTTCTGTCTCTATCAGATCCTGAGAGACTCTCAGAACAGAGCGAATAGCACTTTCAATTGTTGGCAAATGTGTCTTGCATTCTTCAACTTTGGGTTCATAGTTGGACAGTTTATTAGTCAGGTCTTCGTCTCTGGCAAAGAGGGCATGCTGCTGCTCTTCTAACTTTTCAACTGCTATTGTATCAGAGACAAGCTGCTCCTCTACTCGCAGAAGATCCTCTTCTTCTTGTCTTTTTACTGTTCTAATGTTTCTCAGTGTGCTGTCTTCCAAATCTTTTAGCCTTTCAGTAAGCAATTTTATTCCTTGTTCAGCTGAGTTAATTTGGACAGTAACTTGAGAATGTATGTGTTTTGATTCTGATTTGAAAATATCTGTATTAACATTCATTTCTTCTAGGCTTCTCTTCCAGATATCTGTAACATTCTGGAATTTCTTATTAAGGCTTTGCATCTTTTGAGTGAGCACCTCTTCACTACTTTGAATGTCATGTAAGATACTCTGGAGGCTGGATACTTCCTGCTCAAACTGGGTCACCAAAGACATGGATGATGTAGCTTCCTGCAGGACACTTTGAGTAGACTCAAGCTGCATTTGTAACACAAAACAATTCCCAAGGCTACTTAATAACTTTTATATTTCAGAAACATACTTTAACAATCACCTGTCTAGTTCAAGTTCTGAAGATGTCTAAAATATCCAAGTATACCACAATCATACTGACAAAAACATTTATTACTTTAATAATTATTTTAACATATTTTAAACAAATTTAATAGGTTAGCACTTTGGTAGATAAACATATACTTGAACCTATAATCTCAAGCATTTGTGCATTTCCATGGAGGAATATTCAGGAGAGTCATAATGTTAAAGAAGCCTAAAGTATATCACATTTCCCACTTTTTTTACTTCAATGGAAAGCAACTCAGTTGTCATCCTTACGATAATTTGGCTTTTTAAGGAACTTTAAGTTGGTAATAAAATTTGTTAATTTTCCTAAATTCTACGATTCTGGAAAGCTCCTGCCTGAGAAAAAAACTGATCTCTTGCAGAGAAGGTACCAAAATCAGATCTTTATATACATCACAAAAAAGAAATGAATGAAAAAAACCTGTTTGGTGAGATAACTCATGTCAAACAATAAAGTATTCTAAGGATCTTTTAATTATGGTAAGCTCCTGGCATTTCCTAATATGGGTCTGGAATATAGAAGGGCCAAGTGGCCCTCTTTTAGTCATAGATTACAGCCTTAGAGATTACAGGAAGGCCTAGAAATGACCATTAATTTATCAAATGTTTGCAGTATTGTGTTAGAGACACAATACTGTACAAGACACAGTTCTGCCCTTATTCAGCCTAATTTAACTGAGAAGAAAACAGTCTATATGCACTGTAGCAGTAAAAGAGCTATAGAAGCACTTGCATGGAGCATTCAACCAAAACTTTGATGATCAAGGAAAATGTTCTGGAAGTATTATCTAACATCTGCTTCCAGTTACCTCCTCCCTAAATCATCCTACACACTACAGCCAGATTAAGATTTTAACAGCTGCTATTATACATCATGGTACTACATAAAAAACCCACTATGTTTCCTAATGGTTCTAGGATAAAGTCCCAAACTCCATAACCTCTAAATGCTATTCTTCCTGCCCCTTTGCTTAGCTAAATTCTGTGCTTCCTTCAGGCAGGACTGAAGGCTCAGACCAAATCTCAGCCCCTCAGGGCAGCATTCTTCCCCAGCCCTAGCCCTGACCACCCAAATGCCCGTAGCAACTATAGTATTACATAATTTGCCACCTGTTTGGCATTTTGCACATATAATTTTAATTTTTGAGTGTTCACTCTGCGCCAGACTTTGTTCTAGACACTGGACATAAAAATATAGATACAGTATACTCCCTGACGTCACAATTTGATAGGGGAGGTAGTGTTTTGGATCTTTTACATTATATATTTTTCTAGAGTCCCAATAAGATTTATTAAGTATCCTCTGTTCCATTATTAGGCACTAGGGATACAGTCATAAAAGACAGCATTTGCTCTAAAGAGCGGTAAAAGAGACAAACAAAAAAAAATCACAACAGATTATGATTCATGTCATGAGAATGGATGCATACAGGAGAGATCAGAAGTCTGACGGCAATTAGGAAAGGTTTAGAAGCGACTCGGAAATCTGACTCTAACAGACTGATGTGTTAGCCAGGTTAAGACATGAGAACTTCTGAATTCCTTCAGGGAAGAGATCATGTCTTATGCCTTTTTGCAGTCCCGTATCTCATATGTTTGTTGATGCTAAGGAAGCAGAATGGCCATAAACCTTTTGAGCCCATCCCAATCAAGACCTGAAGCAGTTTCAGGTGATAGCTAGGAGCAGTGTGCAACAGTACTAATATAGCAAGACTACTCTGAAGCCTTGTTTAAAAATTGTTTTTAATGTACACACATAGCCATAATACAAGTTCCTTTAAAACTCAATTCTGCGAACTACCTGTACATTGATAATATTAGGTTTAGTTAGGTTTTATTAGCAGCATATATTTGTTCTTATTAGCATTTTGAAGGAGCAAACTTATCTTCATTTAAGGTAACTTCCTGTTTACACTGTTCACTACAGCCTCATTGTAATTTGGACGTAGTATGCTCCAATAGACCCCAACTACAAGGTCAACTTTCCAAGACAATAAAGGTCTTAAGGTTTAATCTGCAAATATATAGTGACTAGTATACTACAATAACTAGCATTTATGGGCTGCCAACATATTCTTAGAGTTTTTCATTTTTTTAAAAAGAGCCAACACCTTAAATTTAGTACTGCATTAAAGTTTTCATACATATTGTATCACATCTGATCCTTATAAAAATCTTGTTATTTTCATTTAATAATGATGAAAGAGGCCAAGAAACATTAAAATGATTTTGCCAAGGTCATACCATTGTGATAAGAGCCTACACCTTGCTTTCCCCTCCTGCAATATGCTGGCCTTTCAAGCCAGCTTTGTGAAAAGGCAGCTATTATTAAATCACATATAGGGCAGACTGGGAGAAAGAGAGCTATGCAAAGACTGAATATTTCTGGGATCCTATGATGATATTTAAAAAACATGCTTCAAAAAGCATTTAAATTGCTACCAAATTTTTCATTTAAAAAGGGTATCTTCCTTCAAAATTTGTTTTCGATAGCTTTTAAGTACATGAAGATTCTATCTCCTGAAATGTTTTCTTGTCATTATGTTCCCTCTGATGAGAGGCTCCCAACAATTCTAACCAGATTCTAACTTGAGCCCTAGGTCAGAAATACCAACGCCTGCAGGTCTATGCCGCTCCCTGCCGGAGGCCCCTAAACTCATCTGCCTTGGCATCTCCGGGCCTGTGTGGGCTGCGAACTTTTCATCCATGGCTTTTCTCCTTTAGAGGACTATAACTAATCCTGGGGCATGAGGCTACAGGAATTTACACCCTCTATTTCATTTCTGCCTAGTTTTATAACATCCTTGCTCACTGTTGCCAAGTTCTTGTCTACCTTATGACACAAATAAAGGTTTAGTGAATGAATAAGTGAACACGCAAGGCATTTTTCCAAAGATAGCTTGGTCTCTGGTAGCCAGAGAAGGCCCACATGATGCCTTATTGATTGCCACTGACCCTCTCCCAAGTAGTTAAAACTTTTTTATCTGTCTCACATTTCTAAGAATCATAGTAATAAGCACCTGTATTTGCAGCTTGAAGAAACATAACATAGACATGGATTTAATTTGGCTAGAAAATCAATATTCATTTATTTAATTGTAATTAAATCAATGTTTTATTTTATCATTGATTTATTTTTGGATTAGTCATTCTTAAATACATATGTATATATGCTTACTAAATGGAAAGTAAAGGGGGAAAAAAAACAATGGATCTTTGCCCAACAAGTGCTGGTTCTATTCTAATTTTATACCTGAAGATCAATTTCATTTTCAGTGCTCTAGACACTTGACACATAAATAGAAAACTGAGGTCACATCAGTATGAACATATTAGTCTTTTTAAACAATAACGTTTGTTTATAAACACAATCCTGTCCTTTCAAAATGTAACCTGAATCTAAACTGGATTGAAGGGAGAAAGTGAAGAGGTAGGAAGAACAATGAGAGTTAAAATAGTAATGGCTTTAACGGCAGGAAAAAAGAAGCTATGAATTGGGGTAGAAGGGTGGTAGTGGGGAATAATAATGGAAAAATTAATAATTACCTTTTCTGAAATTAAACCGACTGAACTTTGAAGCCTTTGGAACTCCTTGGTTTCTATTTTCAGTAACTGGTATTGGTTTTCTATCCTTGCAAACTTCTCCGACTGCTGAAATACAAACCTGGAAAAGACAAAAAAAAAAAAAAATCACTACCACCTAATTCATGACCACGTTAAGCTTGAATTTTAATGGTGTATTTTATACCCACATAAAATCTGGTATAAGCAGTAGTAGCTTTTATTGGTTGATTTCAACAAACTGATGGAGAGCCCGCTATATGGTTAGGTACTGGTTTAACTGAACTACTCATAAAAAGACAAGTAAAACTGCCTCTGTTCAAGTTGACAGCCTAGAGAGAGAGCTGGTATGATATCATAAGAGATGTATGCACAAGAAATACTTTGCAGGAAGAAACAGTGAATTATTTGGAACAAGATATGTGGTCTCTACTATTTTTCTCAAGGTTATATCTGGGGAATATCTAGAAAATAAGTGTTTTTACAATGAAATGTAGAAGCAAGAGTTACCTATGTAAAAAAACCTATTTTTAAATTAAAATGTGGGAGAAGAAAAACATGTAGTGAAGTGGAAGAGAGAGGTAAAGATTAGAAGTAAAATAACAGGAGTGAAACCTGTGAAAACAGGAGTCATTGACAAAATGACAATAAAACACACTTATTACAAGGTGCAAATCCCTACAACTGATTATATGCAACAAAACGGGAGTCATGTGGGTGTAGTTTAGATACTACTCTAAAATTGGAGTGCATTCTTTATCTGGTAAATACTAAAGGACAGAGGGGTAAAAAAGTTATTTCAATCTTAAAAAAAATAAATGTTTGTGCAGGACTTGAAATGAATAAGCACACACACAAAAAAATGCTTTGGATCTAATACCATTTGGTTTAATCTACTTTGACTCAATTCTTTGGGAATCAGAAAAAGCAGCAGTTGAAATTCTCTGTATTTTCTGAGTCATCAAAAAGTGGGGCAGCAACATCACTAGTCATCAGAGAAATGCAAATTAAAACCACAATGAGATATCACCTCACACCAGTAAGCATCGCCACAATCCAAAAGATAAACAACAGCAAATGTTGGTGAGGTTGTGGGGAAAGGGGAACCCTCCTACACTGCTGGTGGGAATGTAAATTAGTCCAACCATTGTGGAAAGCAGTATGGAGGTTCTTCAAAATGTTCAAAATAGAAATACCATTTGACCCAGGAATTCTACTTCTAGAAATTTACCCTAAGAATGCAGCAGCCCAGTTTGAAAAAGACAGATGCACCCCTATGTTTATTGCAGCCCTATTTACAATAGCCAAGAAATGGAAGCAACCTAAGTTTCCATCAGTAGGTGAATGGATAAAGAAGATGTGGTACATATACACAATGGAATATTATTCAGCCATAAGAAGAAAACAAATCCTACCATTTGCAACAACATGGATGGAGCTAGAGGGTATTATGCTCAGTGAAATAAGCCGGAGAAAGACAAGTACCAAATGATTTCACTCATATGTGGCGTATAAGAACGAAAAACTGAAGGAACAAAATAGCAGCAGAATCACAGAACCTAAGAATGGACTAACAGTTACCAAAGGGAAAGGGACTGGGGAGGATGGGTGGGAAGGGAGGGATAAGGGTGGGGAAAAAGAAATGGGGCATTACGATTAGCATGTATAATGTAGGGAGGGGCATGGGGAGGGCTAAACAACACAGAGAAGACCAGTAGTGATTCCACAGCATTTTACTACGCTGATGGACAGTGACTGTAATGGGGTTTGTGGGGGGGAGTTGGTGAAGGGGGGAGCCTAGTAAACATAATGTTCTTCATGTAATTGTAGATAAATGATAACAACAACAACAAAAAAAGTGGGGCAGCATAACCTTACAAACAAACTGCCTAAATCAGAGTATATAGACCAGTGGTTCAAAAGCTTTTCAGCGTAACTGAATTACCCGGCAGCTTTAAAATAGTCTGATGCCTGGGTCCTACCAAATTCTGACTTAATTGGTTTGGGATGTGACTTGGCTATTGGAAATTTAAAAAGCTTCCCGAGTTATTCCAGTGCTCAGCCAATATGAGAACCACTAATTGATACTGTTTTGTGAAAATGACTTCCACTGAAAGACAATTTAAACATCCCAAAACTCAATGGAGGGGTGAAAGACGTTTGCGCTTTGTGCATCACAGCAAAGGTGCTGATGTTTCAAACCCATAAATGTCATCACTAGTCTGTTGCTTTAAAACTGTCCAAAACAAAATGGATTTTTTGCTTTTGCAGCAACTATCCAGTGTTGGATGAAATACATGTCTTTTGATTACGTTTAATGTCTATCCTAAGACAGTGAATTAAATAAGCCAAGGTTATATAATTAGCACAGACTGACTTTTCTCCTGTGTGGCCAATAGGAACTTTTAAACAAAACTCTGTCATTTGAAAGCACCATTATCCTAGTTTTCAAAGATGTATGTACAGACTTACTCTTTTGTGGTTTCATTCTTGGCTTTTAAGAGGTTCTTTTTAGAGTATGGGCTTATCCCAGATCAGCAAAGACAAGGATAGATGACTCTCAAGAAATAAGTCTAATTTCAGGGACTAGATATATCAGCATTACTACACCTCAGGGATTGGCCTACTGATCATTGTGTATTAAAAAGAAAATCATTATTATAAAACTGGCTTTTTGTGAAGATTGACCCACGACAGTAATGTGTTACAGGAGTTTTCACTTCATTAAATATTTTAGGGTTGTCTGTCCATTTCTCTTCAAAATTTAAATATTAAGCAAGCTTGAAGAAAATGATGTCATTTTAGTGGAAATAATCATCTTTGGTGATAAATGTAGGTTTTTGTCAGCTTCTCACTGAAATTAAAAATAAAAGATTTACCACGGCTACCTATGAATAGTACACATAAGAAGAGACAAGCATGAAGTTGACTTTATGCTGGTAATGAAGAAAATGAGAAGTAATTTATTTGTATGGTGCTGAGTTACATTTATGTTGTAGTCAGATGTGCCAGACACTATAAAGTACCTTATAAATACTAGCCCATTTAATATTAAGGAAGAGGTTGATGTTTCCAGAAGCCAAAAATATATTGAGAGAAAGCACTTTCAATTCTGAGAAACTGATTTTTGAAATTGGCATCTAAGCCCAAATTGCTTGTTTCCTTTTTATGAGTCACAGGCATCTTCTACCAGGGGCAGTTCAGGCACTCCTTGCTCTCTATGTACCACAGTTTAGATGAGATGGACAATTAGGGTCTGCTAAGGACTGTAACTTGTAGTTAGAAAAGGACTATAAATACTTCAGGACTAGGGATTTCTATTTTTAGGATCTTGGCCTCTTGGGAGGCAGCATACATATTGGCTGTGTGTGGAGCTGGGCAACTTTGGCTCTGCTGTTTACTAGCTCTGTAAGCACCCTGGGCCAGTTATTTAACTTACCTTTGCTGTAGTTTCCTCATCTGTTAAGTGGGGATAATAATACTTCATAGGGTTGTTGTAGTGTCTATAGTGTAACATAACAGCTCTTCTCTAAATATCTTGGCCCTTTCTTTTGGACTGCTTTGTACAGCTGCTTTTCCATCCCTCTGACAAGCCTGTAGTGATGTAAAAGATCAGGGCTGCCTCCTTCCTACTTGCACTTGATAAAGGCCCCAGGCCTGTACTCCTTTAACACCAGTTGGGTTTATAGCAAATGAAGGATAGAATGCATGGCGTAGACTACTTACAGGAAGAGAAGCACTCTTACTCTGTTTTGGGGCCTCTTTTCACTATTATAATATGTAAAGGCATTGAAGGTATGGATGGTAGGAAAAAGGGACCTGGCTTACTTGGCTACTTTAGGCTTTACAAAAGGAGGGAAACTTCCTCTTTCATAATCCATTGCAGTCTGCAGAGGCCTCATACTGTCTCAAGGCCCTGTAATACAGTGTGTGCATTTCCTTAGAGTGTTGTCTTTGGATAGCTCTTTCAGGAGCTTAGATGGTGGCAGACAGCTTGAGGACTTAAAGCCACAGGAGTTTTTCTGGCTCTGCTTCAACTTAATAATGAAAAATAGGCAACCAAAGGAAGTTGTTATTATGCACCTTTAGCAAGAAAGGGAGTTCCAGCGTCACTACTAGTGTCAGGACCTATTTAGCCCTATGTTTCATACTATAGCTTCTTTTTCAGCATAATACTGAATGTTCTGGAAAAATATTGATATCCATTTTTACAAAGCAAAAAGGATAACCCTTTTAGGTAAAATCTCACTAACAACTACAACAAACGAGAAATGCAGCTGGCTGAGATTTTGTAGTATAAATGATTTATGGAGAAAGTAATATTAGATGGTAGAGAAAAAAAACCTGAATTAGTGGACTGATTCAAGAGCTTTAACTTCTTGTACATAATTATCAAAAATGCTATTAGAAGTTTTATAAAGGTAATTAAAAAATCTGTTGAAATTTCCAAAAGCAACTTAAAATTTTCACAATGGGACTTCCAATTGACTAAATTTCTATGTAATTAAATAAGCTGGGAAGGTTTTGTGTCTCATTTAGTAACTTCACAACTTTCAAACTTTCTAAAAGAAAAATTTCTTCAATCCTCCAATCTGAAAATTTTCCTTCAGAGTTTAGAATGAGCTATGCAAATTAACACTCAGGCCATATAGTTTGGACAATTGTTAACTCCAACATTTTATTGTCATGCTGACATTGGATGACATATGAGAAGATGTTGAAGTATCATACTGCCATTATGCATCATGTCTGTTTACTCTGCCAACAAATATCCGAAGACTGGAGGTTTGAAGACTCGGATGTAATGATGCCTTGAAATCCTCTTTGGGTAGTGGGAGGGTTCTAATTTCTTTTCCCAAATTAATTAGACAAAGTGCGAGAGGATGGTGGCTAGGCTGTGTTTAGGAGTACACAGATAGGCACATATACTCACTGTTGTATTTTAAGAATCAGGACGGTGTCAGTACAGGAAGCAATCAGTAGAGTTGATAGACTCTTAGATGCTTAAGTGTGTGTTTTAGTGGTAAAGCTCTCAATGGCTTTGGTATAATTCCAGGGTGTTTTTAAGTATTTTGAGATGCCAAACGTGTTTTTTATTTGGAAAATGCTTGCAGAAGTCTTACCAGGATAAATTTTCATTCCCAAACTTACTATGAATAAATATTTGCTATAAACACTGGCTGAAGTACATACACTTCAACTCGTGTGGCACAAGATTTCACCAAAGCAATTAAGTACATTATTTAAATAACAATCACACAATCTGCCCATTTTAGAAATAATTGATTGAGCATTGTTTGATTTCATGAAGACACAGCTCAAATAAAACCTTACTACCAAATGTAAGTTGTGTCTTTATTGTTGGCACTAACAGTAATTCCTAGTTGAAGAATCTGCTTTTCAACAATTTTTTTCCTTCATATATTTCTACTAGTGTCTTTCCTGGACAGTCAGTAAATAATTGCAAAGGGGAGTATTTTGTGATGCAATTTATCTCATATGAATATGAATCCTTGGATAGTTATGAGAATAAATTTAGTAACCAAAACCAGTTGCATTAGGTTGCAGAGAGAAGCAACATATACAGATGGTCCCTGATTTAAGACAGTTCAGTTTAAGATTTTTCAGCTTTGTGAACTTTACTGAAAGTGATATGTATTCAGTAGAAACCATACTTCAAATTTTGATCTTTTCCCGGGCTAGTGATATGCTGAACAATACTTTCTGTTGAAGCTGGGTAGCGGAGCCAGCTGCAGCATCCAGTCAGCCACGTGATCACAGGGCACCCTGTCAAAATACTTAGAGACCATACCAGTCTGTACCTGTACAACCATCCTGTTTTTCACATTTTGCATTCAATACATCACACTATACATTCAGTGCTTCATTATAAAATAGGCTTTGTGTTAGGTGATTTTGCCAGCTGTAGGCTAATGTAAGCCTAAAATAGGCTAAGCTAAGTTATGATACTTGGCAGATTAGGTGTATTAAGTGAATTTTTAACTTAAAAGTGTTTTCATCCTGTAATGGGTTCATGGGGATAAAATCATGTAAGTGGTTGAAGAGCTTTATCTTTTGGCCTAAGTTCTACGGCTGAACAACTTTCCCAATAGAAAACGGTTCTTTGTTTATCTAAAGAAGGTTATGCATTTTAAAATATAAGAACACTTTATTTGAATCAGTAAATTAGTACTTATTCTAAGATAAAAAATCAAAGTATTCCCCAAGTAAAGTACCATATTAGTAAAAGAAACAGTATTTTTTTTGGAAGAGATGATTTAACAATCAACACTCACTTTATTGTAACAAATCTTTTATTAACTTTGATTTAGGGTGAATTCATCAGCAAAGTATAATTTAACATTTACTACCATCAAAGTGGTCTAGACTAGAGGCCATCCAAGGTTCCATCTAGAATTCTATTACTCTTGAAGATGAATAGTATCTTCTACTTTAAAAATCAGTGAAAAATGAAGGGAAATTCTGATTTAAAGCTCATCTTGCTATTAAAATGAAATGTTATCCCTAAAGAAAACGATTGGGGAAAATTAAGTAAGTTGATTTTAAGGTTATTTCTAATATTCATTTTTCCTATGACACCCATATATATATAGTTGTTTCCTTGGTTTAAAAACTATCAACGGTTAGTTAATAGGTGGATACAACTGCTATACTTTTGTAGTTTATAGCACTAAAATTCAATCTGTAACTTAGGAATGGACTTTTTAAATTCATAACGCATGCACATTGATCAAAATAGGAGAAATCCTCCAACCTTTGATTATCATTAACGTTGGCTGCTTTGGGATCATAACGGATTCTTTTAAAGTTACGAACATTGCCATTAGGGTGGGGTTGAGGAAATCTGTCCAAGAGGAATGCCCTGCAGACAGAGAGTTAACTGGTTTTAGGAACCGGAAAGCTACCGATGTGCAGTAGGCCCTTAATAAAGTGTGGCCAAGTCTGTATCTCTCGAGAAACGGCTGACTCGTTCCCACACCTTAGCCTCAAGTCCAGTTGAGTGAGCGGGGCACGTAACTAGGACAAAGGAAAAATGCGTTACAAGAAATGTGCGAAAAAGCTGGACTGTCCCTTCTTTGGGCCGAGGCCGGGGAAGAGAAGCCGCAAGTCAGGGATGGGGCTTGGAGGTTAGTGGGGTGCCGAGCCGGGTGGGGCGGGGGCAAAGCGGGGCGCAGGGCCCGGACGTGCACTCACCAGGCCAGGCCCAGGCACATCCCCAGCGACAGCAGGCTCACGCAGGTCCGGGGGTCCGCCCAGCCCCCGCCTCCACCGCCCCGGGCCTCGGGGCTCTTCCCGAGGTCGCCCCGCTTCTCGGGCTCCGCGGAGGCTCCCTTGGGCCCGGACTTCTTCCGGCTCTTCACTTCGGACATGTCTGGTCCTGAGGACACACCCGGAGACGCGTTCTCACCCTGGGGGAGCGGGACGTGGCCTCCGGCGCCTCGGCGGTGGCCGCGCCCCCTCCCGGACTGGGCACCGCCCAGAAGCCAGCCTCTCCCTCACTGGGCACCGTCCCGCAACCCCTCGCCTTGCAGCTCCGCCAGCTGAGCCGGGTGGCGGCCCTACCTCCCCAGCTGGTGCTAATGCTGCAAACTTGAGGCAATCCTGACTCCAGGTGCCCGCGAGCCCCGGGAGCGAGGGGGCGGGGCGGGGCGGGGCAGCGCGCTCCACATGGGGCGCTCCGCCGCCGCGGTCCTGCTCTCGTGAGCGCGGCGCGCCCCCGTGGCTCAGGCCGAGCGCGCTTCCTCATGCGCGCGCGGGCACAGGCCGGAGCGGCAGTGCGCGCGGCGGCGGTCGTGCCCGGGGCTCGGGGTGTGTTTATTTGCGTGCGCGTGCGCGCGCCGTCCAGGCTAGGCGGGCCCGCGGGTTTGACTGCTACCCGGGTGTGAGGCGGAGAGGCGGAGGTGTCGGGTGAACGCGGAAGCTTTATTCCCGGACCGAGCGGCTGCGGGAGCCGGCGGTGAGGAGTGCGGGCGGCCAGCGGCTCGCGAGGTCTTGTAGGGGGGGCAGCCCCGGAGTGGCGCTGGGCTCGCGCCGGGGTGCAGAGCCCGCCGGGGAAGGAGCAGTCCAAGCGGCCCTCCTTCCTTTGTGTCTGGATTGGGGTCGCCCGACGGCCGGGCCGCACCTCTGCGCCCCGAGACTGTGAGGTCCGCCCGCGGGGGTGACACCTACTCCGCCCGGAGCTGCTGAGGCCCAGGTAAGGCACCTGGAGGCCCAGACGTGTCCCGGGGCTGTGCCCGGAGCCCTGCGCTCCCTTGGGAGGCGCCCGTGGCTCTCCGTCTGGGTTTCTTAGTCTGTCGCTGCAGGGCTGCTCCTCTCGGTGAGACTTTGGTGCGAAATGTTCGGTTAAGTTTGCGCCTCGCTTTTCTCCTCCAGCCGGGTATTTTGGATGCTCAATAGCCTATTTCTGGGACTCAATTCTGAGACGAGGAATAATTGATAACCATCCCGCTTTTGTGCCAGGAAGAGAAATTATCTTAAGAGGAAGTAGTCGTTTTCCTGGTTGAAATTGCTCTTTACTTTCTATTTTATATCTGTGAAGAGTCTTGACTACGTTTGTGGTTACAAAAGGTAGGATACTGAGAATTTGTTCGGCATATTTCAATTTATGCACAGCTTTAAAACGTTTAAAATTTACGTAGTTTTAACAGGGCTAGGTAAGGTTGGGTATTAGTTTGAGATTGCCAGTGTCCATTTGCTTAGCTGTTGGAGATAACATAAAAAATTCGGTTTTATTTTCGCAAATCTAATTTTATTGCTAAAAATTAATAGACGTTTTATGTTTAAATTGACATCATAAAACTTTATTAAAACTTAAGAAATACAATATCATTGGTCCGAATCGTTAACTTTTCTTTTATCACTTTGATGCTAGTACTAGGGATTTTGTGAACCTTGACAATCATAGGCAAATGTGTACTTCCATGTGTTTTCAAGTGGCACATTTAGCGGCCGTTTAAAAATATGTAGTCACTATTGAGCTGAAAGATGATTGCTTTTCTGTGCACTCTAAATTACTTGCATTTATCTCTTTTTGAACTTAGGACATCACGTTCTAATTACCTTTTAATTTTTCTCTCCCACTAGTTTGTGAATTTTTAAAGGGATATGATTGAATTTTCTCTGTAGAGGCAGGACCTGGCTCATAGGAGGGGCTCAAATCAAATATTTATTGAATGAATAAGTTAACACATTTAGGCACTGTAATGTATTGACTAAAGTTCTGTTAATGTTTTAAAAACTTGCAAATGTACTGATCCGGGCCTTATGTCCATGGAAAAATTTGCATTATATTTGAAATAAAGTTGGTAGAAACTTAAGAGTATTATATTGTAAAGAATATTATTCTTTGTGTCTCCCTAATCCAAGAAATTGTAGGGTATTTTCTGTTTGTTAGCAGCTTAGCTGAAACATTGGCATGGTGAGCATATGAGTTTACCACTGAAGACCTAGAGTTGAATAACTCCATCTTGAGTGAGAATGCAAATTCATGCCAACAATGTTCTAGTTTCATATTGGATGAAGAAAACAGGAAGGTCCTCAACATTAGGACTTAAGTATGATCACTGTTTATAAAATTTTAACTTAAAAGAAGTTTTTATTATAAAAATGATAATGTGTTATCGAAAAAATTAAGGCAGTATAGAAAAGTACAAAAAAGTAAAGGGGGAAAAAATCCCAAAATCTTTCTATTTGGAAATAATCCAAACATTTTGTTGGACAAACTTTTAAACATATCTCTCTGTATTTATGGGATACCAACACATATTTTGTGCTGTATATGGGATCATAATTCTATCAGCAATGAGTCACAAGCATCTTTCCATGTCAGTACATGGAGATATTTTATTTTAAATGGCTGTATAATATTCCATTTTGTAGACATACTCTAATTTTTAAAATCTCTACTCAGAATGATGAGCATTTAGGTTCTCATATTTTTTTAACCTAAACACTATTAACTCTTTCTTTGAATATTTTTGCATACATATGTGAATGTCTCCTTGAGATGAACTCCTAGATGTGGATTTCTGGGTTAAAAAGAATACTTAATGTCAGACATCTCTGTGACTTATCATATTGCCTTCCAGGAAAGTTCATCCATTTTGTAGTCTCCTCAAGTAGTATATAAGAACATCTGTTTTCTTACACCTTTGAAAGCATTGTGTTCTGTCTACTTTTAAAAGCCTCTGGAAAAAAATCTTACTTTCTTTACATCTCCTGACTGCTAGTGAGGTTATACATATTTTTATGTTACTGGCCTGATGAATATTTTGATTTTTTGCTTGTAGCTCATGATTAACGGCTTAGAGAGAGAAAAATTTGAGGAGGATGGATGCAAAAGCTCGAAATTGTTTACTTCAACACAGAAAAGCCCTGGAAAAGGACATCAAAACATCCTACATCATGGATTACATGATTAGCGATGGAGGTTTAACAATATCAGAAGAGGAAAAAGTAAGAAATGAGGTAAAGGTCTCTGAGGCAGTTTATGCTTTCTTAAACATTTTTAGAATTTATTTCAGAACTTGCACTAACTTCCACTAATTTGTATCCCAAATGTATTCTTGGTATATGTTTATACATATACATATATGTTTAGTATACTAAACTATTTATTTATTTTTTTTAGCCCACTCAGCAACGAGCAGCTGTGCTAATTAATCTGATACTTAAAAAAGATAATTCTGCCTATATATCATTCTACAATGCTCTACTACATGAAGGGTATAAAGATCTCGCTGCCCTTCTCCATGGTGGTATTCCTGTTGTCTCTTCTAACAATGGCAAAGATTCTGGTGGTGGAATAACTTCATATGGTTTGTATCAATTATATCCTCTGCTACATTGGTGCAGTTTTGTCTTAACTATGGATGGAGTCTGCTCAAGAGCTGATCAGTCGCAAAAAAATAATTGTTGTTTTCCAGTTTAAATATTTTTATCTGCATCTATGTTAACTCTCACATTTTCTTCTTGCCTAATAAACTATCTACTGCTGAGGTAATATACATACCCTAATTCTTACAGATAATTAGACAACTTATAGGCCTTTATTTAAGCTTTTTCCCAGTTCTGTGCTTATCAAGGTCATGCATAGGAAGGAATAAGAATCTTTTGAAATCTATGTTCTTGAAGGATTTCTATATTCTTATCTTTACACTTTCCTTCCCAGTCTTCAATGTGAGAAAAAGAGAGAGTCAGGGAGGAATAGGATTAAGTAAGGACAGATAGATCCATCGTTTATTGTCATGTAGAAGGGTGTATGTTTTCTTTTGTTCTGGGTGTTCTGAGAAATCAGAAAGTTGAAGTTAATATGCTACCTCCATTTTCTTACTTCTAGTATAAATTCTGAGGCTAAAGCCTAGTCTTGCTCTCTTTGTTTCTTATGCTATTACTTGAGTAACCATTTCAAAGTTCTGTTCATTCATACGTGTTCTGTTTTGAATTTCAGTAAGGACTGTCCTATGTGAAGGTGGAGTGCCACAGAGGCCAGTGGTTTTTGTTACTAGGAAGAAGCTGGTGGATGCAATTCAGCAGAAGCTCAGGAGACTGAATGGTGAACCGGGATGGGTCACCATATATGGAATGGCAGGTTGTGGGAAGTCTGTGTTAGCAGCAGAAGCTGTTCGAGATCATTTCTTCTTAGTCGGTAAGTTAATGATGACCTGTGTTGCTGGCCACGGAGATAGTCCTTAACCATTCTATTAGTTTCTTATTGCTGCAGTAACAAGTTACCAAAAATCTGGTGGTTTAAAACACAAATTTATTATCTTACAGTTTTGGAGTCAGAAGTCCAAAGTAGTTCTTACTGGGCTAAAATTCAGGTATAAGCAGGGTTGAGTTCCTTCCGGAGGCTCGAGGGAGAATCCTTTTCCTGGCATTTTCCAGCTTCTGGAGTTGGCTTGCATTCCTTGACTCAGGATCTCTTCCTCCAGTTTCAAAGCAGGCAGCACGTAGCATCTTCAGATTTCTCTCTTTCTCTCTCTCTGCCCTTTGCTTCTGTTACCACATCTCCTCTGACTCTTGCTTCCCTCTTATAAGGGCCCTTGTGATTGCATTGAGCCCCCCAGGTATTCCAGGATAATCTCATCTCAAAATCTTTAGTTTAATTGCATCTGCAAAGTCCCTTTTGCCATATAATGTAACATATTTACAAGTTCTGTAGATTAGGATGTGGACATCTTTGGGGAGCTGTTATTCTCATTCCGCCTACCACAGGCATGATTAACTTTGGAGTTCACTTTCTGCCTAGCCTGTCACACTGAGGGTTGGCTAACTGGGTCAATAATTCATATGTCATGTGGTACTTATCACTGGATTGAAGCCAGTTCCTTTGTACCTTAACAGTTGGGGGGATTTAGGGTTAAAGAAAGGTCTGAAAAGGTTGTTCAACTTGTATCCCTCCCTGTCAGGCAGTACTAGACTTACACCTTCCCATCAGTCCAGAGACTGTTTTGGCATAGGGTGCTATAGAGAAGGAGGTTCTTGGAGACTCAATTCCATTAATGACTCTCCCAATGGGTGATTCTGTCATGTCTTTCGCATCCTATATTAAATTATTCATTCCATCTCTAATTAATTTTGTTTCTTATTTTTAAAAAATAAAAAATCTTCAGTAATTTTTCTAACATGTAAGGCCAAGAAAAAAATTGGGAGTTGACGAGGGCAACCAGTGGATTTTTACAGGTAGGCCTTTTAGATTCATTTAAGGTCTGGTGACTTTTTTTGCTTCAGGTATTCATGTTTTCAGTAAATATTTG